GGCTTGCTTTCTCTCTTTCTCTCTCTCTCTCTCTCTCTCTCTTTTTTGAGAAGTCTTTGCTATAGGGCGTGTGCGCTCGCCAGACAGACAGAGATAGAGAGATAGAAAGCGAGAAATCACCGCCCCAGGGGGGATGGCCACGCCACAATCCCTTCTCCTCTATTCTCCTCTCGAGATCTTGGGCATGCAAGCACACACGCCCGGCGTGAGTTTAAGCCACCGGGTCCGGGACTCGAACTGTGGTCGACTACATGGGAGTCCAGTGACGTAGGCATCATGCCATCTGCTGGTCCTGAAATTTCTTTGAAGCCCTACATCTGTGGCAACTTGTTATCACAGCCACAGGACATGAATACACACAAGTACTCATTCTGGGCCCGCGAAGTGCAGCTCACATCCTGTGTGGGCTTGCCCCTGTGACATATGTATGAACAAGCTGAATTGCATGGTCACGGGGTGGGGACATTTCACCATGGATCTTTGTATAAAGACAAAATTCCATAATGTGATCCACTTCTTCAACTTTCTGTGTTTTAGAAAGTTATATATTCTTATAAACTTCACATAACCTGTAATTCCCTTCTCTTCTGTATAGTTATTTGAAAATAACTTAGCTACTCATCTATCAAATCTAAGCAGTTTATTTTTGGCCAAAGATTTCTTCCAGTGCTCATTTGAAACAACAAATGCTCTAACACTTTGTTCTAAAAGAATATTAACATCATAACCTCCCCAGGCCTTCAGAAAGCTCAGATCTCTTCAGGAGCTAATGTTCTTAGGCTTAGATCAGCGACTGGAAGGACATTTGCTAACATCTGATTGGTACCTTACCCCTCACGCTTCTGCTGACTGCGAAAATAAACAGCCAGGAATGGCGGTCAGAGGACGCTGGTCCTGTCCTCTCTTCTTGCTAATAGCCATGAGCCTATTCAGCAAAGCAGCAGGGGGTGACCAAAGAGCTACCTAAACCAGGAGTTGGTTTCAGGACCTTGAATGAAACTCTGTTCACTCTGAGGAGGCAAAAAGAATTAGCCAAGCTTTAATTCAGCGGTCTTGAACCCAAACACCTCCAGGGACCAGGCAGATAACAGAAATGAGCAATGCAGGCTAGGTATCAGGCAATAAATAGTGGTGGTGACTGTGACAAACCAAAAAGCTTATGCTCTCTTTAAAGAGGACCACTAATACTCAGTTCCAGCCAGTGGTTGCCATGTGGGGTATGGATCCAGGGTTCTTAAATAGTTTAATTTTGTTTTCAGATAGTTTAATTTTTCAATAAAAGCAGGATGCCCAGATTTTTAGGTAAGCCATTTCAAGTTTTAAAAGAGTGCAGGCCAAAACAAATAAAAATAAAAATGGGGTAGGGGTCGGGACCAGCAGTTAACGTAATGGCTATGTCGCTGGTCTCCCATGTAGTCGACCACGGTTCGAGTCCCAGACCCAGTGGCTTAATCTCACACTGGGCGCGTGTGCATGCATGCCCAAGATCCCGAGAGGAGAATGGAGGAGAAGGGATTGCGGCGTGGCCATCCCCTCTGGGGGGTGATTTCTCGCTTTCTATCTCTCTGTCTCTGTCTGTCTGGCGAGCGCATGTGTCCTATAGCAAAAACCTCTCAAAAAATGGGGGAGGGGTGAAGGTGGCATGGTGGTTAAGGTGCTAGACTCTCACATGGCCAACCATGGTTCAAGTTCTAGACTTGGTGGCTTGCTTTTCTTCTCTCTCTCTCTCTCTCTCTCTCTCTGGTGAGCACACATGCTCTATAGGAATCGTAATAATAACAACAAATAAATCATTTAAATAAATACAAATCAGTCGTGGTTAAGGTGCTGGATCCCACATGGTCTATTGCACAGTTCAAGTCGCAGACCCAGCAGCTTGAAAAATGCCAGGGGTGTGAGTGTATGTGTGTGTGTGTCCAAAATCCTAAAAGAAGAATAGAGGAGAAGGGATTGTGGTATGGCCATCTCCCCTGGGGTGCTGATTTCTCACTTTCCCTTTCTCTCTCTGAGGAGTACATTTTATAGCAAAAAACAATAAAACAACAGCTGAGTGCTACCGGCTAGCTCATAATAAATACTGCATGGAGCAAAACAGAAACCGACCTGTTTGCTCAAACAGAAGTCAGCAAGAGCGCTGGCAGGAGGGCCAGGAGGCCGTGTGTGTGTGTGTGTGTGTGTGTGTGTGTGTGTGCGTGCGCGCGTGCATATGTGTGTGCTACCTGTACACTTGCGTGCATAGGTTAATTAGACACCTTAGTTCATTCATTCCCCTGGGAAGTTAGCAACCTGCTTATAGGGACATGGAGTGAGGCGAAACATCTAAGAAGAATGTTAGGATCATTAATTCACAAAGAATTCCGAGTGACTAGGCATTAAAAAAACCACACGGAATTTGAGATTATATGTGTTATGATATCATGTGGGGCTCATGAAGGAGTTGCTATAGACAAAGGAAGATTCCCTGAGGGTTATTGCTTTTTATCCCAAGGTGGAGGGATCATGGGCCGTCTTTATCCTCCTCTTTCCCAGTCTAGTTTCGTTTTATGTGGAGTGTGCAACCCTTTGATAATTAAAAAGGAAAGAAATCATGCAAACAATTTTGTCACGGCCTAACTCTTAAACACTTTCTCATGCATCCTGTTGCCTTGGGAACCAAAACCAGTCTTACTGACTGTCGGGGATGCAGTTCCGCTGGGGCTGGCTGGTCCCTGTGGAGACCTGGCGTGTTGTTACCTGAAGTTGTAGCCAGGGTACAAGGACTCGTTGGTGCTCTTGTCATCCAGGCGACGGAAGCTGTACTTGGGACGGCAGTGGTGGAACCAGCGGTCCAGGTTGCAGTCCCAGTAGATCTCAATGCCCATGATTCCTCCCTGGGGGAGTCAACAAGAGACAGTCACCCGGTTTGCAGGATGCGGGTTACACAGCTGCCAGACAGCTCCCCGCATGGTGATGCTTGCTGAGGGAAAGTGTCTTCAGAGGGAAAATACTAGTTAGAGGTTTCAGGGTCAGAAGTACAGTTGTCGTCTAACTTACACAAGTGTCTCTGTGACAGCTGCAGACTTATCTCCCTGCTCGTCCTGGGGACACATCCATAGGAGCCTTATATTGCTGAAATAATAACTTTCAACACTCCCGCCCTCAGACACCTTTACTGCCCTCCCTGCCACCACCGCCATTAAAGATGAAAGGGGAACGTGTTAGACTGGAGTTCAGGGCACTCCGTCGAGTGTCTTTTCTGCTTTATCTCTCAACACTCCCCTAGGAAAGCCCTTTTGCAGATGTGGTCAAATTAGGGACTCGAGGTAAGGAGATATCGTGGATTATCCAGGAGGGTCTCCCATGTCTCCTCTTCTAAATGCTAAAACAGATTGGACACAGAATAAGGAACCAACATGACCAAGAAAATAAGATGCTACCCTATGGCTCTGAAGATGAAGAAAGGGGCTGTGGACCAAGAAATGCAAGGAACGTTCTAGAAAGTGGAGAAGGCAAGGAATTGGGTTCTCCCTTAAGGCTTCAGAGGGACCATGGCCCTGTGGACGTCTTGATTTCGACTCAGTGAAACTAATTTCAGGCTTTCGACCTCTAGAAATGTAAGAAAATGCATGTGTTAAGTCATCAAGTTTGCAGTGATTGGTTACAGCAACCATGAGAAATTAATACAGCAAGTAGCTCACTCACAGAGGTGTCTTGGGATTTGGCACCGCGTGTGAATTTACTAAATGTGACCTATGTTTTCAAGACCTAGTGGTCCAGCCTCTTGGCCACTTGACATCCTCCGTCCTTGAAACGCACCCACACCGCACTGCACAAAGACATCACCAACCTGAATCGCCACGTCTGAAAAGTTATCTCCTGTTTCTCGGAAGAGATCTCCTAGTCGGAAAATGGGACACAGTGGATTGTGAGTCTTGTGGAAGGTACAAGTGATGTTTAAACCAGGCAAGATGTTTCTCCTGTGCACGAGTGAAAGCAAAGAAACATCTCTGTTGAAAACAGATCCACATCTTTCATAGGAGTGAACCAGTATAGTAGCTAGGCTCCATCATGATGCTGCTGCCCCTGGGGCCTACTGTGATGTCCTCTCGCACTGTACCGGGTTGGTCTATGTGACCAGTAGCACATGGCAGAAGTGATGAGGTGTTACTCCCACAGGCAGTGGCTTCCATCTTGGTTACTTGCTTGCTTGCTCTGTCTCTCTCACTCTGGGGGAAGCTAAGTGCCATGTTCTAAGGACACTCAGGCAGTCCTAGGGAGAGACCCTCCTGGCAATAACCAGTGAGTGAGTTCTGAAGAGGAGTCTCTGTCAACCCCAGCTGACAACTTGACTACAACCTGAGACCCTGAGCCAGAACCACTCAACAAAGTCATGTCCCTGACCCTGGGAACTGTCAGAGACAACATGTGTTTGTTTTAGGCTTTGAAGGTTCGGGTATCTTGTTCCACACAGCCAGACATTCTGGGCACTTACGTGGTGTAGTTGTGGCCAGGGAAGTCTATGTTGTTCTTGATGAGCACAGTAAAGTTTTCAGCACTGTTCAGGAGTGCAGGCCTAGGGGAGAGAATGTGTGATGGCATCAGCGCCTACAAGGACCGAGGGACTTGGGAGATCAAGGGGACCAGAGGCTTCTGGATTTTTGCTTCGTCCTTTGGGATGGGATAAGAGAAATAGATACCTTTTTAGTGGGCAAAACCTTTCAGACATCTCTATCAAACTTCTCAGGCTTCTCTAAGAAGAACTTATTCCTTCTTAAGACCCCATGGCATTTACTCCGTACGGCTTAGGATTGTATCATAACACTCTTCACGTTGTGATATGTGTTTAGGTATGTGCAGTGGTGTGCTGGTAAGTGTTCAGAAGAAAACAAAGCTCTGACAAGTTTTATTTGCTGACTGTCATCCCACCATGGCTGATTTCAAGCTACCAATGGGGCATCGCTGCCCTTGCAGTTGGGAAGGGATGAGCATGATCGCTCAAGGCCAGTATAAGCCAGCTCCAGCACACCCATTTGTAGCCCCCCTACTAGGCTTGGGGTTCCTGCAGGGATGGGATAATACTTTTCTTATCTCGGCATCCCCAGCCTTTAGCACAGGGCCACAAGGATAGAGTTGACTGTGTTAGTCATTCCCTGGAATCTCAGTATCAGATAGTCTCCACGTCCCAGAGGAGCCCAATTTCTAGACCACAAGAAGGCCCACCCACCATCCATTCATCCAACATTTCAACCACTATTTCTCGTACTGGGCATGGGCACTGAGCAGGTAGTCATTAACAAGACAATTCATTACTATCAAGGTTTTTGTCCTTTGGTTGACAATCTCTTAAAGATGTCTTGAAAGGATGGCCCTACAGTGCAGTGGTTAGGCACTGTGCAGAGAGAGCCAGATCCCACACAGCTGACCGTAGTTCAAATCCCAGTATTGGCAGCCACTCACTGGGCATGTGTGCACATGTGCCCAGGATCCCGACGGGATGGAGAAATGGAGGAAAGGGGATTACAGTGTGATCACGCCATGTTGGGGTGTGCTTTCTCTCTCTCTCTCTGTCTCTCTCTGTCTCTGTCTCTCTCTCTCCCCCCTCACTCTCTCGCCTGCCACCTGGCATTTAAAAAAAAAGAAAAGAAAAAAATAAAAAGAAATAAACCTGGGGGAGCCATTAATGATTGAGGGCCAGACAGTGATCTGCGTGGTGCATCCCACCCTGATGTCAACGCGCCTCTGCCTGAGCTGTCCACGAGCCAGGCTGGGCCGTTCCCTTCACCTCACAGCTGCTGAGGGAGCAGCCCTGGGTCACACTGGTCAAGAACTGTGCTGTCCAATTGGGTAGCCACTAGGCAAGTGTGACTATTTATATTTTAATTTAATTTAATTTAAAAATCACGTAATAAGGGGCAGTAGCCATACTTGATGTGCTCAATAACCCCATGTAGCTGGTGGCTACCAAACTGGACAGTGCAGGGGCAGAAGATTTCCAGCTCTGCAGAAAGTTTTAGACCAGGCCTGTCTAGAGCTTTCTGGTCTAGAACCACCACACTTTCAGAGGCAGACTGTGTGTGTGTGTGTGTGTGTGTGTGTGTAAGCCAAGCATGGAGCTCACTTTATAATAACTGTATAAGTATTATTTCATTTGATCCATGCAACAGCCCTATGAGGTGGGTGTGATTACTGTCTTCTTTCTCTCTCTCTCTCTTTTTTTATTTTTTTGCTACAGGGCATGTGCACTTAATAGAGGGGAGGAGGAAGTGAGAAATCCTTCCTTCTCCCCCTGGGGGATGGCCACACTGCAATCCCTTCTCCCTTAAACTCCTCTCAGGATTTTGGGCACATATGCACATGTGCCCAGCATGATTTTCAAGCTGCTAGGTTCAGGATTCAAACTATATAGTTTGCCATGTGGGATCCAGTACCTTAACCTCCATACCACCTGCTGGTCCTGCTATTTTCATTTTACAGATGAGAAGACGACAGCTCAGATAGGTTAAGCCACTTGTTCAAGGTCATACAGTAAAGATGTATTAGAGGTAGGATTTAGATCCAGGTCTTTTTTTCTTTTCTTTTCTTTCTTTCTTCTTCTTCTTTTTTTTTTTTTTTTTAAAGAACTTTTACTAGGGACAGGTATACCTTTTATTTATTTATTTATTTAAATTTGAGCAGAGAGGGACAGAGAGAGAGAGAGTGAGGGTGAGAGAGAGAGAGAGAGAAAGTGAGAAAGCAAGCTGCCAGATCTGGAACTTGAACCATGGTTGGCCATGTGGGAGTCCAGTGCCCTGGCATCATGCCACCTGCCAACTCCAAGATCCAGGTTTTTCTAGCTCTGCTGAAATGCATCAGCCCTTGTGGTTTCTGAGGAGAAGAATCAGTGCAGGGACCACCAAATCTGTATGTCACTTGGAGCATTTAATTTGAAAAACCTTCTTTCTCCTCCTCTCTCTTTCCCCTTCCTTTTTCTTCTCCCTGCTTCCTTGTCTCCTTCCTATCCTTAATCACTCAGTGTAGACGATGACTAGTCAGATCTGACCTTGCTGTAGCACAAGAGGTGGGAGGGTCTGGAGGTGTTCTAGAAGGTGCTGGGACCGCACGGAGCAGGTGCACCTAAGGGTGTCCAGGAAGCAGACATTTTCCAGCTGGGGCAGAGCTATCTCACAATTTTGACAACCAGCATGGCCTTCCCAGAGACAGTGGTTTGTGCTGGGCTGCTCCGGGGCCTTGCGGTTAAGGCAGCCAGATGAGCACTGTGCCCAACGCAGGCCAGGTAGGGCTGCAGTAAAAGGCAGAGCTGGCGCAGCCCTGCTCGGCCTCCTCTGGGCACTGCGGAGGGCACTGTGTCTGTGCCCCCACCCTGCAACTCACCGTGGGGCCTCTTGTGCTGCCTCAATGGGACACCAGGCAGAGACTTCACAGGTCTTCTGGTTCCCTTTGTACCCGACGCCCCTTCCGGTCTGGAC